CCCACACCCACACCCACCCACCCACACCCACACCCACACCCACACCCTCCGTTGTCGGTCATTAGTCGATGAGTGACATGTGGACAGAAGCAAAGAAAGTGTATGTTTTCACCTAAGTTTTTGTTGCAAATTCTTTGAACATTTATTAGTAGTTGAGTTCACGAACTCAAAGAAAAGAACAAACAACTTCTTAAAAATAAACAGTGACAAAATACAAAGAGTATAAGCACAGAATTGTACACTATTTCAAGTGATGGACAAGAAAGACTGTGATTTATTCTTTTTGTAATGTGAGGTTGAAAATAAATTGATACTTCTTGTGATGTTTGCAGAGACCTTCTAAAACTGAGTTACTTTTTCCAAAACACTAACATCATCTTGATGTTAATTGAAATAGAGACTATTAATACCTTCCTATCATGATATGAACTCATCGAAAGCGTATTCTTCTGCAGTACAGTTCTAAGCGCGAGAAATGTTATAGCTTTCTTGTATATATAAAACAAAAAGAACCGTGAAAAAGTTCGAAACATAAAACAAAGTAAAAAAAAATTCTAAATATAAATCAGATTAGCTAATGCCTGCCAGTTTTGTCTCCGTGTATATTATGACCTATTAAGACGAGTAGCAGACGATATTTTATGCTGGATTATATCCTTTTTCAGGATCTTTATCTACGTCTTCATTGTTATGTTTTACATTCTTCATTAAATTATCATCTGTAATTTGTTGAGTAATTACATAACGTGATCTGCTCTTTACTGCTATGTCTCCGAGTTGAAAGTAGATCAATTTCGTCCATTTATCTGGATCTCTCCAGTCAGTTAGTGGTGCGATCATCGTTGTATTTGTTTTATTAGAATCTGCTTTTCTTGGCTTTTGTGATTTTACCCAGTTCAGCAATCTCGTTTGTAATTCATCAGAGAACTGAGTCCAGCCAGGAATAAAAAATTCGACGTCACCTCTTTGCTTGTATTTTCTTGCCTTGTTTTCCATATTACGATTATCGTATCTGTCATCTTGAGATGCAGAATCAAAACCTTTGAATAAAACATGTAAGATTCGGGTGATACAAAACTACGAGGTTGTTTCTTTTCAAATGTTTTGAGCCGCGACTCTATGTATAGACTAAAGATAAGTTGATTTAAAATAGATACGTCCCACTCACTACACAGATCTTCATCTGTTCAGTTATCAACGATTAAAAGAAAGGTAAAAGTAAGCGCTCAGTTCTTGAAAAGTTTACATTTTGACGCTTCTCTAATTTTGTCAGACGAAAGAAGTTTTCAAAATACTAGCTGGAATAAAACATCTCTCAACTCTTCGTGAAAGCTGCTCGACGAATAAAGTTCTGTCTGTAGATACTATCAATTTTCAATTGCTGTCTCGTTTAACAAGCTCTTAGTTCAAGATATGCTGATCGATAAAAAAGCTATGACGTTATAACTTCTTTCGAATTTGATCTAATCGAGCTAAACTTATACTTCAAATCAAGATATGCCTTACAATAAATGAGAAACTTACAATCTGGAAAAACTTCAAATTTTGCCGTTCTTTTTTAAATAACGATAGCAGAAAGCTCAAAAGCAACTTGCACGAATGGAAAGTGTTTGAAGTTGAGCCACTTAGTAAAAAAAGTTTGACCTGCAGAGTCAAGCGTTCAATCAGGTATTGGCAGTTTATAAGATGAAAAAAGATGCTTTCTCAAGAGGTCTGCATTTCTGTCTTCTAACTCACCTTTTTTACGTTCCCAATAAAATGGTTTGCGCTCCGAAGCCTGATATAGCTTCACATGTTTAATTTGTCCGGGAAATTCATATTCATCAGTTGTTATACCGTCAAAATGAATGTGTAAATGGTACCAATATGAATTTTCATCAGTTAAATAATATCTTGTATCAAAATCATAGCAAGTTGAGGCTAGCATCACTATGCATAACGGCTGATGTTGTTCATCACGAGTCAATCTCATCCCACGTATCCTTATTTGTTTATGCTTTTGGTTCGACACAAGCATTGTCATAAATTGTTCACCTAAGTCTGGACTTAGAATTGGCCTGCTAAACCTTGAAAAATCAATTTGTAGGAATTCATATTGATTTTTACTAGCGAAAAAGGCAAAGAATTCTTGACTGTCGAAAAAACGAAGGCCATGGATAAGTTTAACAGGTGACATTTCATCCATTATTACCATCTCGTGTTCTCTTTCGTCACTCTTTGGTCCAACATAAAGAAACTGTGGAAATTGTTGAACCTGCTGTTCTCGTACTAATCCATCTTTTTCTTGAGGATCCAATTGATTGAAATCAGTAATGTACTTGTCCAGGTCAGCATGTTGTAATTTCACAAATAATGGAGTAAAAAAATGACCATAAGAATAATCGGTTGATTCTGAACCCGCAGATGTTTGTATCGTTACAGACATATTCTGCGGATAATCATCATTCCGACTAGCATGTTCTCGAAGCTCACTTAACCAAGTGCCGGAAAAGCATGAATCAACTATTAGTACAATATGATAATCATGAGGTTTAGTTATTTCATTCCCAAATTGATCTTCACAATCATGATGATATTCCGAGTAAAAATCTTCACAACTCAGAAATTCTGCAAAACCAATTATTTCTCCGAATTTTCTTAATTGCCAGTCTCTATTCTGTGATATTGGATATGGTGCATATTGTGAATGTTGATCTCCTATGGATTTATTGAGGCGCCAATTAGCAAGCCTCTCGCTTTGTTCCTTTGAGAGGCCATGTCCGGTCAAATAAATAACAAGAACAGCATTCCAAACACAATCATTGGAAATGGAACTGGAATCATAACTGCGAACATGTTTTCGAGACGGCAGCCAGCAACGATCCCCAACATACGACCAACTTTTATCTGTCACCAAAACCTGATCAACTTCTTCAATCGTGTCAAAAACAGTAGAAGCTGGAAAGCGATTATCATCTTCTTTTAAAAGTCTACCAGAAGCTTCTAGATCATCTCGATTCATAGCCGGATGAGCGTTTTTTTCAATCAAAAATCGTGTAATCAAATCAACATCTTCAGTCATCCATGTTGAATCCGTCCTCTCATCTTGACCCGGACCACCGTCAATACCACAAGGAAAACCAATACAACGATAATACAATGGAAGGGTCGACTGAAAAAAATAAAATTTTTCAGCAATCTCTCTGCTGACAAATATTTTCAATCATTTACCTGTGCCATCAAAGATTATTAAAAAGAAGTGAAAGAGACAGATTATTTCTGGTTTTTATAGACTAAAAGAATAATTACTCGTAGTTGTGTAATAAATACCGAAGAAATATGAGAAAGAAAAAAACAGTTTGAGTCATAAAAGATAAGTACGTGGGGCTTAGAGAATATTAAAAAAATCTGCATATTGACTCAAGTTAAATATTGATTGTAAGAATAAGAAAGAAAAGGTAGACAATATAATCTTCATATTTATTAATATTATCATCATCTCGTTGAAAAAAAAGAAACGAAAGGATATAGAACGAAAAAAAAATAATCACACTCTAAAAAAAATACGAAATAGATCTTATACAGAAAATCTAATGATATAAAAGTGAATTACTTGAAGCAAAGGTAACTTCTTCCCCCTCGCGTAGTTTAAGATGACGGATGTTTTATTATGACTACATACTCAAAATTGAGGGGTGAGTAAAGCTACCAAGACCGATTTCATCCCATCTTAAGGGACTTGTCAGTTGAGGATGAGAACAGCTATCATAATCTATAGGTTTTACCGCAGGCACGCAGATCTTCAGATGGCAAATGATCTTAATAATTAAAACTAATCACAAGATTAAATAATCACTGTTATAAATATCCGAAAATATCTATAATGATTTATCAATTCATTGTGATGAGACAAGCAGTCGTGACCAGTTTCGATCTTGCTTAAGGATCTCTTCAGTTGGCTAATAATCTGCAGTAGTCGCAAAAAGCTGGCACTTCTGTTAGGATATATGGATGACTTCATATTTCTTTTTTCTTTTGTTATTATATGTTCTTACCCGTCTGACCTATTCTTCTTCACTGACGTCTTTTGTTGTAACTCTACTTGTTGTTCATTTTCAATCAGACAAAGAAACTCTCAACTTCTTCCCTGACTAGTCCACTTTTCTCTTCCTATATATACTTCGTGTTTTTTTCCAATAAAGGAGAATATTATTCACTCATCCAAAGCGTCATATACTTAACTATATACACTCTTCTCACGAGAGGGGGAGAGAGGCAAGCGGGCATCCTAACTACTTCCTCAAAAAGCACTAAAACTTTAATCGTTTGTTATTTTGATTATCAACAGAGCATGTCAAACCTGATCGCACCTACTATCTCCATCATAATTACATGAATTAAAACGAGGGTGTGGGTGTGGGTGTGGATGTGGGTGTGGGTGTGGGTGTGAGTGTGGGTGTGGGTGTGAGTGTGGGTGTGGGTGTGAGTGTGGGCGTGGGTGTGGATGTGGGTGTGGGTGTGGGTGTGGGTGTGGGTGTGGGTGTGGATGTGGATGTGGGTGTGGGTGTGGATGTGGGTGTGGGTGGGGGTGTGAATGTCATTTCCCTGTTTATTTACACCCACACCCACACCCACACCCCACACCCACCCACACCCACACCCACACCCACACCCACACCCACACCCAAAGTATTATTTCTATATTTTGTTTCTCTAGAAGTAAAGATTATAAATTTTATTGGCAATCAGATCGACAACCTTGCCCATATCTTCGAAAAACAAATTTTAAAACAGTTAAACATGTTCTTATTGATAGTAAACGAGTAACAAATAATCAAGGAAATTATTTTCCAAATACTACTCAGTTAACCATTACAAATAATTTTGAAACACTTGATGATTTATTTCCAATAATTCTCAATCGCATTATCCCTGTAAAAAATCTCACAAAAATAGTTATCGAATCATTCAGTTTTCCATTGGAACAAATAATCAATTTAATACGATTTACACCTAATTTACATACATTAAAATTTTATTTAATTTTTTTAAAAAAAATCAAAACAAATATTATTGAACAAAGTCAAATATTTCAATATATATCAAAGACAAATAAAATAAAATACTTAGATCTTCATGATGATTGTTCATTAGAAAGAATTCAATTAATTATGAAATTATTTCCAAAATTAGAATCTATGAAAATTGGTATGAAGAAAAAAGAAACTAATGAAATTGCTCGATTTATATTATCAAATAATAATATTCAAACAGGTCCTTTAACATTTTTATGTATGTCACAAGTACCAAGAAGATGTTTGAAAGAAATAAATATATTAATTAAATCGGAAAACTTAGTTAATGATTATTGTATTAAATATTTTGATCGTGATTTATATTTATGGTGGTGAAAAGTTAGTTGCTTAAAATGTATTTTATTTTATTTTTATTTTTGTATATAATCGAGAACTTTTTAATAAATAGAAGAATGAACGATTAACTAGAGATGGTAGAAATAGCAATGACACACTCATTTATCGTGTCACTGCGAGGAATTTTGTCATTTTTCATGCGAAAAAAGATTCACTTTCTTTCGCATAACGTCATATCACACAGAACGACAAAAATGACTTGCAGTGTTTTGTTATTATAAAGTATTATTATTCAGCACTGATTACATTGATACTCTGTGCAGTGATATTTTCATGTCGTTATTTGGATCTATTTCCTTTCTATGTTTATTCATCTCAAATTCTCTCAGTCTATAATACAATCTTTAAAATTTATTATCTTTTATCATATAATTATTTTATTGTCTTTCTTATTTATGGTTTATTTCGAAAGAATCCTGATAAATCTCATGATACTTTTCCAATCTATGCTCATAGTCTAACTTGGATTATCAATTTTCTCGATAATCATATAGAAATGGATAAGAAATTCTTTTGGCAATTTTCAATCATTTAAAAATGCTTGCTATTATTCCTTAAGGGGACCCCCCCCCTTTCCGGATTTCCGGACCCAAAATTTTCAAATTTTTCATTTTTTTTTTGTTTTTTCTGCTCTACATGTGTTTTCAAATGCCCTCTATCTACTGGTAACGTTTTGAGAACTCAAATATAGCTCTAAAGCAAAAATAAAATCGATTGCTGTAGAGGCATAGCACGATTTTTTCTTTCTTTCGTGGTTTTCTAGAAACCAGGTTTTTCAGCAAAAATCTACAGAATGGCCCCTGTTTCTCAGACACAGTAAACCCGATCGAGCTGAAATTTTTTCTACAGATAGTAGAAACAGTTTAGGGGGCCTACTTTTTTTTTTCGTTTTGAAAAATGTTGTAACTTTGAGTTTTGGCAGGTCTTACAAGACAAGCATTATTCAAAAAAATATGGGTTTTTTAGGGTGCTCTTTGTATTTTGGCTTTTTTTATTCGAACGGTACGAGATAGAAAGAAACCAAAAAAAGTAGGCACCCTAAAGTGTCTCTACTATCTGTTGAAAAAATTTCAGCTCAATCGGACTTACTGTGTCTGAGAAACGGGGGCGATTTGGGGGTCGATTTTTTAGCCATTGCAAATCCAATATCTCCTAGAAAGAAGCATTTGGGGATTTTGAGTTTATGACAACTTTTACTCTACACATCGAGATCCATCAGCGGTGAAAGTTTCAAATTTTCCGGATGAGCCATTCTCGAGAAGCCCCGGAAAGCGGGGGGGGGGCTCCCTTAATTGAGTTCAATCTATAAACAAGAAACTATTGACAAAGCAATGCCATATTATTTGATTATGTCAGGATCTTAATGAGCATTTTATATTCTCAATTGGATCTATCGTTATAATACAGAAAATTTTTGGAAATCGATTAGTTTCTTTTGTGGATGTATTCGAATAATTAGTTATTTTTACTTTTTTATTTGTATCTATCCATGCTTGAATAATGAAAATAAATAACAATCAATTGAAATCACAAAAGAATCTATCAACTTTTAAGTTGGTACCAAAGAACATTTTTTAATTCATAACATTGTTTCAAATATTGAGACTCAAAAAAAATCTGTTTCGTGGTTTTTTGTATGTTTTACAATGTATAAAAATAAATATTTATATGTACAAGAAATAAGTCATTATTGTATTAACATGCATCGTCAATCGTTGAACGGGTTGTGTTACTCTGATTGGAACTCTTAGACGATCGGATTGCTCTTGTAATCAATGCTCCTGCTGGATTGATTGCCATGAATGCTCCGCGCGCCATTCGTTTTCCTCTTGAATCAGAACAGTTGTTGTTCGCATTGCTTTCAGCTATTTCAACTTCAGCATAAGCTAAATCATTTCATTTTCATATATTTACTTAATAAAGATTTATTACTTACGAGATGATTCGTTTTTGTTGCTGTTTCTGTTTCCCATGTAATATCAATGGTAGACACTAGAACTGTATTGAAAAATATTTATTATTTAACGATCTGTCAATCGTATTTAAATATATATGAACGTCATCTCTAATATACATACGTCACCATGAAGTGAAACAGACGTTTGTCGAATACGATGATGTAAAAAAGAAAGACAAAAGCTAAAAAAAAGAAATGAGTAATCATCATAGAGAGTGGTAGCAAATGATATGTGAATGATAAAATAAAACACAGTCTAAATGTGAAAAAGTGATAAAATTAATTTCAATTTGAATTGTATTGATAGTCCAGAGTCAATGGATTAGTTTAATAATCATCTATTTGAATTCTATCGAAGCTTAAAGATTAAAGAAAATGATAAAGATCAGCTGTGGTAAAATATTTTTATTATTTACAAATTGAGACTAGAACAAAATGGAACTTGTTATTACCGCAATTATTTTTCTGATTCTTATTGCAATGATGATTCCTTCAATCATATGTTCACTTTTATCTTCTGCTATTCAGATGAATTATTTCAGCTTGATGTTGAAAAAACTACTTGACTTGTTTTGGTGAAGGCGATCATAGACATACCCTTAAAAGTACTTGTAGAATCAATCCTAGTACTACAATTCAAATTTTATGATGAAACGTAGTCATTATATTTCATACAAAAAAAAAAAAAAAAAAGAATTTTTTTCTGAAAACATTTATTTTTTAATTAAGAATAAAAAGGATCTTGTTTAATGAGTAAGTTTTAGTCAAATTAATATTTTTTCACTGTTATGGTTTAATGAAATTCTTCTTCGAATTGTTCTATAAATAAAATGTTGATATTAATTAGAAGAAAAACTCAAATCTAACTTTCAATTGTTGAATCTTGATATTGTTGATATTTACTGACTGAATCAGACATATCGAATTCAACTTCAGTAAATTTCTATAATACAAAATCTAACATAAAATATTCTTTATCAAATTGAACAAACTATTTCATCCATTCCTTCACGAATATACGGATACACAAAAGCTTTTCGAGCAAATATCGCTCTAAATTGTTCCGAAATACGTTTAAATAAACCTTGAATTGCTGTATTATTTCCTATAAATATATCGAAATAATTTTCATATATTATAGAATTTAATTTTTATACCAATAAAAGTAGCTGATATTTTAGATCGACAAGATGGAATATGACAAACAGCTTTTGTTATATTATTTGAAATCCAATCAACAAAATAGGATGAATTTTTATTTTAAATATTTAACATGTGTTGATCATTAACTTCTTTCATTGATATTCGATCATGAAAAATAGTTGCAACAGTCAAATATCGACCATATCGTGAATCGTATGCAACTATAACATTTTTAGCATAAAACATTTGTTGAGTTAATTTTGATATAGTTAATAAATGGTCAATTTATGATGCTCATGATGTTAATGAAACAAAACTGAGCATAAGAAATGTAAACATGGAAATTGAACCATATTTACACTCAATTTAGGTAAATCAGCATTTAAATGATCTTATTTTATAAAAATAAAAGTTAATCATTTTCAATGATTATTTTACTTGGAAATCGAAGACATATTGTTAAACCAAACATTGTTGATGATATTGAATGATTTAAATCATTATTTGTTGGTGTTATTAATCTGAATGTTACAAAAACAAATTTCATATAAAGGTTCATTATCAATACAATATGTTTGATCGATATTTTCAATAAGTGTTGCATTATATGGTTCAACAACAATTTCCGAGACTTTTGGTGATGGAATTACATTGAATTTCATTATTATACCTAACAATTAATAATTCAATAAATAATAAAAATGTTTATGTGAAATTTACAATCAGGAAATTCTGCACGAAGTTTTATATGAGTAAAATTCTCATACCTGATTCAATTCTATCGTCAAATGAATAACACATTTGAAAATCTTGAAGGCAATCACATAATTGAGTTTCTTTACGAATTTTTCAAAAATCCTCAAAAATTATTCGAGTAAAGGGTGTGGGTGGGATGTGGGTGTGGGTGGGGTGTGGGTGTGTGGGTGTGGGTTGTGGGGTGTGGGTGTGGGCGCCGCTGTGGGTGACCACCCACACCCACACCCCACACCAGAGTTCGAGTTCTGTATACTGAGTCTGGATCGGGTTCGATCGAGCTTAGTGATGGATCAATCAAGAGTTAGTTGTCTAGGGACAAAGCCTACTCACTTACTGTCTAATACACATCTAAAGAGACATCTATTGAATGATGTTTTCTAATACGTATTGTGATGAAAGAAAATCACTACGTACATATCTCCCGGAAAAAAAATAGTTTCCACCTGTATTTTAAATCTATTGTCACTACAAAAATACTTTTTTTAAAACCAATTACATATTCTGAAAGCTCGTGAAGTTTCCTATCATTCTATATAGTTAGGTTTCAGTTCATACCTATTCATTACAAAAAAAATTCGAGTACAATGAAAGCACCATCATGTCCAGATTCCCACAGACTTGATTTTTTCGCTGTCATCAAAATTAGTTGTCAAAAATTTTGCATCACAATAGAATTACCTTTTTGGAAAAAGCAATTATAGATCCTGATAGAGCGTGAAATTCTCTATCTCTCGAGATGGCTGTGGATGTGGGTGTGGGTGTGCGTGGAAGGGCACTTAATACCCACACCCACACTCTTAATGTTTACATGTTATCAAATATTCTGAAATGCTATTCAATACACTATTTTTCCTATTTTCACTACTAACAGAAATTTATGTCATAGAATACGAGATTAGTTACATGAAATTGAATAGTACTAATTTGCCATTGTTTTTCATTTTCCGTAATTTTTTCATTATCGCTGATGTAAGAAATTTTTAGAAGACTTGATTGAAGTTAGATTCAAATTTTAATTATTGGAAATTTAAACTGAAAATCAAATTTTAATATAGATAGAGTATCTTTTTATTCAAAGTAATATTCAACAAATCATTAGTATTAGTTTTCTTATGAAAAACAAATGTAATTTTGTTATTTAAATGTTAAGTTAATCAATACCAAATAGTTAAAGTTAAAGGATAATCAGAATTTTTAAGCAATTTTTTCTGATACTTTAAATTTGTATATTGAATGAGCCAATCATACAATTGTCTATTTTTTGAAATAATATCTGTGTGTATACCACATAATTTTGTTGAAAAATAGATCAATTCAGTCCAATAACAACTCTTCGTTGTAATATTATTTTCTCGATCGCGTAAAATGTTTAAACAATTAATAAATGCACATTCATCTAATGGAAGATTTAAGTTTAAATATTTAACATATGGAAATTGATGAGCAAGTATTGACATTTCTTTTTCACTAGATAAAAAACGTTTAACAATTAAATGATAAATAGAAGGTTGAATTATTGAACTGCTTGAAAAAATAGCTAAAAATTTTTAATTAACAATTAACTTTTTTTTTTATAAAAAGATAATTACGTGTGTCCCTTGAAAAAATTACTTTGTAAATATGGAATGGTAATTTAATATCAATCGATAAAGAACAAATTATTTCACAAACATGATCATATTCTGTGTTTAATAGAGAAAATTCGTCATCTTTTGTAATTATCACCCATTTTCGACATGCAGATCTTTTAACATCTGATGACACTGATGAATTTGATCCATATCTAACAACAGGTAATTGTCGTTTATCATTTTTATTTGCTGGCCATGGTAAAGAATAAATATGTACCCATCTAAAATTTTTCGTACCATAATATGTAACATTCATTGGCCATTGAACAAAATTTTTAATTAAGTTTCTCTTAGTAATGTGATGAGTTATTGTATAATGAAATTGAAGAAGATGTGGAAGATATTCATTTAATATTGATTCAATAGTAGGACCATGACAAAATAATGGATCAAATGTATCATGAATACTTAATGTTAATTTAGTTAAATTTGTCATATAAGCAAAAATAGATTTCATATCATCAACAATAAATTTAATAGATGATTCAAATAATGTAAAATCAATTAATCGAGAACATATCCATCGTATACTTTGAGGATAATAACAAGCTATAATAGAAATAAGAATTCAATCTATAGCGAAAATATTTTCATGGATATCAACACAGATTACTATACTATATTCTCAATAATTCGATAAAGTTTTCTTCGGATTACATATAATTACTCATGTTTTTAAACTCATTAAGTGCCAAGAAAAAACATCGTTCTAACATTTGAATAATTCTTTATCAAGTCAGAAATAATCATAGTTTCTTCTGAACACTGTTCAATCGTTAAGAGAAGACTTCATTATCAAGCCACAACTGAAAATGTGTCCTCATTATTTACTTACGAACTATTCTTGCTTGACACAATTTAATAATCATCTTTTGAACATTTGGAACAAGTCCATTAAGTAATATATATAAATCATCAATAGTTTGTAAAACAAGATTAACATTTTGTAGATTATTATGAAATCTCAATGATTCACTTAATAAGAGTCCATTATAAATTTTATAATCAATTGTATGAATAGAAGAGATTTGTTTTTTATTGAATAATAATTGATTGAATAATATATTACATGTTTCTAAATCATCCATATCTAAATAATATCAAGATTATATTCACATTTTGATAGAATATCTTTAGTAAATACATACTTTCATTTGCATCAGGTCTCTGAACAACTATATGAAGATATTGAAGTTCTGTTAGATTTTCAATATATTTATTCAGATATTGAAGATCTTTGTGTGAACAATTAGTTAATGTAAGATGTTCTAAATTACGAAACATCGATCGTATTACATCTTCAGGTGTAGAAGAAAAATAATAATATGTTAAACATGTAACATGTTCATTATTCAATATGAGTGATTTTGGTCGTAAAGGAACTTTAGAATGAGAAAATAATTTTGATAAATAATTGTATTCATTTATTTTTATTCCATCAATTTTTATTCTTGTACGATGATTCAATATCATACGATGAAGACGTTGTTCAGATTTCAAAGGTGTATAAAATGCATAAAGAATATCATAGGAAGATAAATAACGACAAATGATAAGTAAAATTTCATCTGGTAAATCAAGTAAACAAGTTATACTATGACAAATATGTTTCATTGATAGTGAATCGAATTCTAATAAATCAAATGACAAATAAAAAAAAAAGATCGTTTTTGAATGGAATGATTACCTATATCGGCTAGAAGATCTTTTGTATCTTTATTCATTCCGTATTTTCTATATAATAATGCTTCAAAATAATCTGAATAATCGTTTGCAATGAATCAATCGATTATTTTTCTTTTTCCTCTTTTGTTAACAAAAGTGTTCGTAATATGAATAATGGAAATAAAGATTTGTTTGACCATTGAATATATATGATGACCTGAATGACTTTTATAAATGAGTAGGAAAATGAAACATATGATTGGTGGAAAATTCATATACGTTTAAAACAGACTTGAAACTTTTCATTCTAGATGACTATAAGAGCATTATTATATTATATGTTATTTTTGATTTTAATCACAATTCGACTCATATTTCATGTTCTGAGATTAGACTCAATACAAGAAAAAATATATTTGATCAATTATTAACTTCGATTCATTTAACCAAACACATTTCTTATTACATTATATATATAGATTCAAATAACTCTTTTCAATATTTAAACAATCAAAGTTAAAGTGAGATTTTCCAAAAATAAAGATGAATTTACAAAAGATATTTATGATATTTTAAATCGATATTTTTGAATAAAATCAATCAAACATGTTACTATTATTCTATATCGAATTTAATTCATCTTAACCAAATTTTGTTAAAAAAATTCATCAATTCATGTGTAACAAATGAGACTTGAGAAAAAATATCATACAATAGTAGAAATACATCAGAAAATGAAAAATATAATATGTGTCGGGTGTGAGTATCATTTTCTCTTAAATAATTATTCATTGTTCTAGAAATTGTCAAATGAATATTGGTCTTGTTTACTTATTTATATCTTTTTTAATACTCAAGTGTTTAAATATTCTCTGTTTATCCATAATTAACATAAAATCTAGTCAATCGCTGTTTAAACTAATTCAATTAGAACAAAATAAAAATATTGATTTCATTCAACAAAGTCTTTAGTTTGAAATAGTGCTTTTAAATGAGAGGGTGTGGGTGTGGGTGTGGGTGTGGGTGGGTGTGGGTGTGGGTGTG